CCCATGTTCATAGCAGCACAGTTTGTGATAGCTAAAACTTGGAAACAGCCAAAATGCCCATCATCTGGAGACTGGATAAAGAAAATGTGTTTTTTTTATAAAATGGAGTACTACTCAGCCATAAAAAATGAGAGATTTCAATTTTCTTAATAGGAGGAGATAAGGACTTGGAATATGATTTGCAGGATAATGTTGCCAGATGTTTAAGAACAGTGCAAAACCTCCAAATCTCCTATTTTGTGGGGGAAAGGAATAAGGAATTTGAGAGGGACAACTAAAAGAATGAGCCAGGAAACATCAAGCAACAGAGAGTGGTATCAAATCATGTTGATCTTACATGAACTCACTAGTTTTTATCTTAACATAGTGGCTGCTTAGGAAGAACTAGTTCCTGGTTTTGTAATCTTTTTTCAAATTTTACTAATTTTCTCTTTTCTTAGTCTAGAAAAATAGTGGTGAATAGTACTGTATGTAACCTTAAAAATAGTGTTTGGGGGCCGGGGATTTAGCTCCTTGGTTCTGGCGCCTGCCTTGTAAGCGCAAGGTCCCGAGTTCGATCCCTGGTACCAAAAAAAAAATAGTGTTCGGATCCTTTTAAGTATGATGCAAAATGTTAAAAAGAACTTGATACTTTTACTGATATTTTGTTAAGTGTATTTTACTTGAGTTTCTATTCTTGTTATGATTTTCAAATACTTTTAGAGCTTTTTGAGTCTGTATTGAAAATGTTTAATTATTGAAGATTCTTTGCCCTTTAAAATTAGGCTTTTGTTGATTTGTCAGAAAATTTTAGAGAATAGTAGTTTATAACCACAACCTTAGAACATTGTCCTTATGCTCTTTTAATCTCCGTCTTGAATTTTTGTCAGTTTTCTGAATTTCCAGATCCCATGTGGGGTTCAGATTATGTGCAGTTGTCAAGGACACCACCTTCCTCTGAACAGAAATGCAGTTCTGTGTCCTGGGAAGAGCTGAAGGCCATGGACTTGCCCTCATTTGAGCCTGCCTTCTTAGTGCTCTGCCGAGTTCTGCTGAACGTTATACATGAGTGCCTGAAACTACGACTGGAGCAGAGGCCTGCTGGAGAGCCATCTCTCTTGAGTATCAAGCAGGTTTGTTTCAAAGACTTTAAATTTTTAACAGTTATTACATTAGTGTTCAGGCTTATCCTTTTTGAGGATTGTATTACTGCAAATAGTAAAAAATAAATGTACTAGTATCTTTAAGGTGCTCTTTTTTTAGAGCAATATAAAATGTTCTTATCTGTGTACAATTATGGTTCAGCCTTTCTACCACCTACTTCCTTTAGCAGAAGGGTATAAAAATAGGTGATAATATGACCCTTGCCTCCTTTGTTTCACTCTTTGAAGACTGGAAACAAAATTTGTTCTTTAAAAGCCAGGGATTTAGCTCAGTGGTTCTGCCGTCTGCCTATTCTTTAGAATGACTTTCTTTTTGGTAGTGGTGTTATATTTAAGTTATGTAGATTAATGTCTTTTTAGAGTATGCAGAGGAGAGGTGTTTGGACTTTTTACTTGCTTAAGCAGTTGTTTAAACAGTAAGGATTTTCTAGTTGTTAGTTTTAGGTGAGATTTTTCTTACAGAAGGTTTTATATTTGAGGGGCTGCAGAGTAATGGCTGGATGCAGTTTCATTGAGTAGAGGGAGTGCTAAAAAGTGTCTGAATTTATACTTT